AAAAAAAAAAAAAAAAGAGGAAGGAACAAACAACTGTAGAAAGAAAATAGAATATATTGATACATTTAAGGGGATAAAAGCCTGAAGCTGCCAACTGAAATGCTGATTGCTCCCCTGTGCAACTTCCAAACCAGTGTTGATTTGGTTCTTTCAAAATGCATTACTTTCTCTTCATGAAAGAAGGGAATTTAATTTTTTTCAATCTGATTTTCTAAAGTACCAAGTACTTTAGAAAGGCAGCTCTCAAAACAAAAACTACAACAAACTATATATACATTACAAAGTAGCTGGAAAATCACTTACAATCAATTTTATATAGACCACTTGCACATGTAGGAGTGAAAAGCCTGTCTGGCACTCAAGTAACCTGATACAAGTTTTCATTGAGACACTGAGGTCTGTTGTACAGCAACCCKGTACTCAGCACAAGAGCCCGGATTTTCATTCTCCTAACTGAGATAACACTTTTGAAGCTCAGGAGCTCCAGGAGAACAAAGTGTCACCTAAAATCTTACTGTCAGCATTTTTGAGTTTTTTAGCATCAGTGATTGGTCTTTTAAGAATAGTTTTTGGCTGTAAAGACAATCCTTTTGGTGCAGGGATTTCAAGAATTTGTGGCCTGAGAAAGGACATTACAAGGGTGTGAGAATGCAAATTGTCCTATCACGTCTGGAGGAAGCTGTGGTAGCAAAAGGAGGCACTAACTTCTTACCCCTAAAACCACTTGCAGAGATCTGGACAGCCAAAAGAGAGACCAAACAGAGGAGAAGTTACTCTGTATGTCTGAGACGCAGGGAAATTCTGGGGAGCTGCCGCTGCCAGAGAGGGGAAGACTACTTTATAGGGGACTTTTGGCATTGTAAGGAAACTCTCCACAGTGCCCGAATGAGTGGTTTGAGTATGACTTTCCACCACACAGAAAAAAATGCCACCCCTTACACAAAATGCCAGGGCAGAGGTGTACTAGTCAGTGATGGAGAGCTCTTGCCTATACCGAGAGCCAGAGTTTCCCTTCTTTTTCATGAACTGCCATTGGAGGGGTGATGGATGATAAGATTCATGCACAAGAACATATGAAAGTGGATGAGGTCTGTGTGGCCCTGACATAGGATTTGGTCCAAGCTGAACACAGGAGGATCTCCCATAGGGATGTGCACCTTTACAAATTTGGCAGTGATCGATGCGGGGAATGCAACACCACCCTGCTGCAGGCAGGGACCAAAAAGGGGAGAAGTGGAAGGTAAAAGCCTGGAGGTCTCTGGCAGAAGTKCATGGGGTAATTCTTGGCAAAGAAACAGGTGTCAAGCCAGTGTCACATGCAGCATTTTTTTCTGCCCTACTTAGGCTACAGAGAGAGCATATATTTTTTGTTTTGTCTTKGACATACTCTTTTCAACACATTGCAGAGTTAATTTAGGTCAGTTACCTGTTGTAAGAGGTGTGTGAAATGCGTAGTTGCTGGGGAGCTAGTGAGGACCAGTAAAGATAAACAATGACAAGAACAAACAAAGGACACAACTACTTAGGAAAAAAAACGTGAGGATGCTGTGAGGTGCTTTTACATCTCTATGCATGKTATCCCAGGTACCTATGCTCTATCAACCCTACAGCATCTCCATTTTCCCCCACACTCCTCATGCTCACCTCCCTCATCCCACAGCATCCAGCCAAGCGCTGTGATCCTCCAGTCAGCATGGTCAGCAGCTCACACTGAGGGGAGGGGCGCAATTCCCCCTCACTTCCCCCTAAACACTTTGGATCTACTTCTCACCACCACAGAAATACAGTAACAGAGCAGGTTACTGTGGGTGTCAGTGACAAGTGAGTCAACAGAGCCYTGAGCCAGCACAYAACTACAGGGTGCCAAGAGCAGCARCAGCCAGATGCACCTATGGTCCACAGCAAGCTGCATCCAGCAAACCTCATYTGTCAAACACAACTGAGACTTATTCCAGCAGTGCTGCATCCATGGAAAATTACAGCTAAGAAATAGGCTGCTACAATGTCAGAATGTTGTTTTAATAAAAATATTTTTATAGTATTTTTCTTTTCACTGAATTTTTTTTCAAGATATGCAGAGGATCATAGGCAATGACTATTTGGAGGGTTGCCCCTAGTAATCAATATAGTTTCTGCTGGAAGAAACAGCAAAACTTTTGGTCAGTTTAAGTGTTTGGATGTTGACTTGAGAAAAGTTGATAATGTAAGAGCAAGTACACTATAACAGAAAATATCTGACTAGCTGAAAACAGAAATTTAGTCCATCTAATCCATACTCCTATAATTTCTTTCAGCCAGTGCATTCAGAGGAGTTGTACAAAAATATTCCCACCTGCTCAGCCAACAAGGGTCAGCACACATCCCCCATCACAGCAACCTGGTCCTGGGGAATGGGACCTCAGTCCTGCAAATGATACCTGGAGCAAAGTACCTGCACCAGGCACCACACTGCTCCTTACACATAGCTCAAGAGCTTCTCTGCTTCTCTTCCAGTGTCTCAGAACTGTAGTAGTGATCACTCAGTATCATGTGGCTGCTCAGCACTGCACAGTTTGCTCCCCAAAACATGAGCTGTCTTAAACTCAAGGAGCTGTTGGYAGGGTGAACAGGCTAGTTCAGAAATTAAGGATTTCTGAGTATTGCCTCCAGAGGATTCACTCTTAAATCAGAACAAAAATAATTGCACTTAAGAACAGAACTTCTCCCACCATCATATCCTCACAACATGGCACTGCTCACCTCTGAGCAGACAGGGTCACTCATGGCCTGGCAGTGGCAAGCAGCCCACAGAGARGGGCAGGAAGGGATGTTTCCCACAGCCCACACCTGGTGACCCAGAGGTGGAAAGGCATGGTCTGACCCTTGGAATCCCCAGCTTGTTATCATGGGAAAACAACTTTTGGTTACATGAGTGTGTCCACCTTTTGCCTTTCCACCTATTGCTCCACATTTATTTTTAGGTTGTTACAGCTCAGACCACTTGTTTGCTTTGCGTAACTTGACATCAGTTCTGCTATTTGAATCAAACAGAAATCTGGAGGACTTTTTTCCCTTCTATCCACTTTTTTGTGGCATAGCAGGCCAAAAGTACCAGAAATTAGGCCAAATGGGTGGGGTTTTTTACATTTGAGCTGTTGCAACTTCAGTACACACACAAAAAAGTAAAACAAGCAATCAAACATGGAGAGCAA